TCCAGGTCTAGGAAGGTGAGCATCCAAACAGACTAGGATCCCAAACAGCCATTTTTACTGGACTGAGTCAAGTTCTGTTAGTCTAGTGCAAGGGTGGGAAGAGGTAATAAGAGAGCACAGAAATGAGCTAGGTAGGTGCATTTCATTTGAATAAGACAGCATGAGATGCTTAGCATTGTGTCGTTGCAGCAGAACTCTCAAGTAGTCTTGATTCTAATGGACGCACAGGACTCCTGATAAAAATCATGCCTTGATGCTACCTTCTAGAATCTGCCATGCGATACCTTTGCTTTGTGTTTTAGAGTTCATATTGAAAGCTGAGTTAAAAGCATAGATTATAGAATCTCCTTCTGCTGTCTTGAGAACAGGACGGGGATAAAGATTATAATGGACTGCTCTTGATTTGGGGTTCAGTGACTAGTTTGCTCTTTAAACTCAACACATGACTATTCCATGGCAGAATTAGACTGGAGGCCAAACTTGGGTCCTGATTTAGGTCAGGAGTGGAGGGGCCAACCTAACACTTGGATAGCTCTCCCTCTTTAAAGCTGTTTTTACTGAGTTGCTAATTTGCATAGTCCAAATCAACCAGGGAGTATTGTCTTCAGTCTTTTAAAATTCCTAGTAAGAACCTAGAAAGCAATGTTCTATTATGTGACTTGTGTCACTTTTTGGTTTGGCTGTTTTTATTTCTTTATGTGTTTGTAGCTGTGCAGTTCTATTGGATACCTGTGATCTGAGCTGGTTAATGTTCTCAAGACTGAATAGACAGTATTATCCTTGCTTTTATCTTACTTTCCTGTTATTTCAAACAAATAACCCGGTGTTGTGTGATGGAATTTTTCTGGGGAGACAATACCTATCTACTCACTTCAGAAAAAGAGCCCACAACAGAACAAAGGACAATCCAGCTTGATGAACCAAAGAGTTTTATTGGGGTGGGGGAAGGGTTACTTTTAGGAATATGGGTGAGGAATTACTTATAGGACCAGAAATGACCAAAACCCAGCCCAGCATGGGTGTCAACTCATGGAAATGAAACCTGAAGCACACTGCATTGCCTATAGGCAACTCAACAGGTCTTTTTCAGGAGGCTCAGTTGGTCTGAGCCTCTTAAAGCAGTTTGCCTGGTCTCTGCTTCTTACAGGCAACTGGGCTTGTCTAAGTCTTCTCTTAGCAATCTTTCCTGTTTATATACTCTTGGGAGACAGGGCCTAATGAATCTAGTCAGTTTCAGGGACTTTCTGAAGCCATTTTGAGTTAACTACCTGTCCTAATAACTTCCCAATAGTATTTCACCTCTCCTTAGAACATCCTGTTGTTTCACCTACCTGGTTTTACATTCCCTGCAAGATGAAAGGTCGTTCATCACAGAGGAAAGTGCTGCACAGCACCTAGACAAAAGCAGTTTGAAGTGTTTATTTGGTTCATAATTACAGATTAAAGTTCATCACTGTAGGAAAGTCAGGGTGGCAGGAGCTTGAAGCAACAGGTCACATTATTCATAGTCAAGAGCAGAGAACCATGAATCTGCACGCATGCTAGTTCTCATCTCTTCTGTACTCTCCACAGCCCTGCTGTCCTGCCCAGGGAAGGGTCTTCCCAACCCAGTTAACACAATCATAATTCCATATCGGCCAGCCTTGAGGATCCCTCATTGAGTGAGACTCCCTTTCCAGGAAACTATAGATTGTGTCTAATGGGCAATTAAAACTATTAATTATTTCATTGAAATGTTTATCCAGTATCTCAGAGAAACAAATAGGGGTAATTGGTCAATAAACAGAAAAATAATTACAGATCTTTTAGAGTCATTGCTGTTTATTTGGTAGTCATTATTTGGTAGTCATTTTGAGTTAGTTATATTTTTCAGTGTAGACTGCTGCAGATGCTCTTGGAAGTATAGATGGATATATGGCTATGCCCTCTCTGGTTACATATAGTTAATACTGGGCTGTCATGAATATTACAGTCAAAATGCTAAAAAGCAAGATTAAAATATCTAGAAATTCCAATGTATAATACATTTTCTAAAACAGTAGCTTTACTGAAATACTTTTTTGCCCTCAATGTTTAAAGCATATTGTTCACTGCTTATTATTTAATTTATAGATGTAACACCCACCACTGCAACAGAATTATGGAGGATTTATCACCTCAAAAGATAATTCATATCTTTTTTTAAAATTTCCTTCTGCTTCTCAATCTCTAGCTGCAGGGAATTACTAATCTACTTTATATACCTGTATTTTTCTCTTTTTTGGATATTTCATATAAATGGAGTCTCAAAATAATGTGGTCTATGTCTAAAGTATATTCCATAGTATAGACAATACTTTTATTCATCTGTTTAACAATGGAAGATTAGGTTGTTTTCAGGTTGGCTCTTGTAGATAGTTCTGCTGTGATACGTACATGCCTCTGTGGAACAGTATATTTTTGTTTGCTAGTGTAGATACCCAGGAATGAAATTGTTGGGGCATATAGTAAATATATATTTAACGTTTTAAGAAATGGCCAAACTATATTTCATAGTGTCTGGACCCTTTTAAATTTCTATTAACATATATATTATATGAAGAGCACACTTTTTTCACATCCTCACCAATACTTTAATGTTCTGATTATAGTCATTCTTGTGCACGTGAAGTGCTATCTTCACTGTCACTTGATTTGTATTTATTTCATGGTTGGTGGTACGGAATGTTTTTTTATATACTTAGTGTTCATAAATCTTTGGTGAAATCTCTCATTTCCCTACTTTTTCTAATGCCTTGGTGTTTGGTGCTCAGATCAGGACTTCAGGCATGCTAAGCAAATCTCCTACCAAGCTAGGCCCCAGCATTTTTTGTATGCTTAATCTTCAAGAGTTGTGTTTTCTGCTGTAGATATACTTTGTTTCAAGTCCCTCTTTAGATACATGATCTGTGAATGTTTTCTTCTATCCATGGCTTTCCTTTTCTGATTAAAGATATCTTTGAGGGACAGCAGTCTTTTTTTTTTTTTTTTTTTTGGTTTATCTAGACAGGGTTTAGTCATTATTTTTAAATGTAAATTTATTATTTTGTGCGTATGAGCATTTGCTGCATGCATGTCTGTATACTACATGCAGCTTGGAGGCCAGAAGAGGTGTCAGATCACCTGAAACTAGAATTATGATTTCTATTTATGATGATGATGATGATGATGATGATGATTATGATTATGATGGGGTGCAAAGGGTCCCATCTGGATTCTGGAAGAAGAGCCAATGTTCTTAACCATTCAGCCCACTCTAGCCCTAAAGTCAAGGGTTTTTTCTTTTTTGGTTGTTTTTGTTTTATTTGGTTTGGTTTTTTGAGACAGGGTTTCTGTGGGTAGCTTTGGAACCTGTCCTGGAACTTTTTCAAAAGACCAGGCTGGCCTCAAACTCACAGAGATCTGCCTGCCTCTGACTCCTGAGTGTTGGGATTAAAGGCGTGTGCCACCATCACCCATCAAGTCATGGTCTTGTTTGTTGCTATTTTTAAATTATACATGCTGTTGTAGTCACGGCTAACATCTTTTGTAGTTGGTCCTTGCTGGTTAGGTTACTGTTTTGTCAGCTTGATACAAGATAGTTATTTCAATTGAGAATTTCATTTGAAAGAATGTCCCTGCCAGAGTGGCCTGTGAGGCATTTTCTTGATTAAAGATTAATATGGGTGGGCCCCACTCACTAGAGGCAGTGCCACCTCTGGGCAGGTGCTCTTGGATGCAATAAGAAAGCAGACTGAAACTGGGTGATGGTGGTGGTGGTGGTGCATGCCTTTAATCCCAGCACTTGGGAGACAGAGGCAGGCGGATCTCTGTGAGTTCGAGGCCAGCCTGGTCTACAAGAGCTAGTGCCAGGATAGGCTCCAAAGCTACAAAGAAACATGTGTACCTGGTGCCCACAGAGGTCAGAAGAGGTCATGGGATTCCCCTGGAACTGGTGTTACAGACAGTTGTGAGATACTGTGTGGGTTCTAGGAATTGAACTTAGATCTTCTGTAAACTGAGCCTGGAAATATTTTTTATCAATTAAGGATTAAATCTCTGAAATGTTATACTTTAGAAACTCTGAAGTTTGTAAGTTTAGTTTTTACAGAACTTTTTATTAAATTAAAGATATGGTAAACTTTTTCTGCTGCAGTTTTTCTTGTCTTTTCCTCTCCCCCACTCCCCCCACAGAATTTAAATGTATTGGAGGAATTGTGGTCATTCAAATTTAAATGTCTTTCTTTACTTCAGAGGTCTTTGGGGTTTGGGTTTTGTTTTTTTTTTGTTTTGTTTTTTTGTAGGCTGCATGATAATTTTAGTGAAATTGGTTTGCCTAGTTTATTATATGAAAGCATTTTAAAGGATGTTAAATATAAAGAAGGAATTGGTTTTCTAGTTAAGAGTAAACTCTTTTGGATTAGTACGTAATCGTGAGATTTTATTGACATAAAGCTGGTGACATTTATAGTTTTGTTTTTCTGATAATGGGGTTTTATTATAGACTAACCTAAACCTCTCTACATAGCTAATGATGATTCTTGAGCCCCTGAGTCCGCTATGTCTACCTCCCAAATGTTAGGATTATAGGTATATCCTACTAGAATTCATGTGATCTTGATATTCCTAAGAATATGATGGAATATTTCAAGGCATTTTGTGTACATAAGTGTTACATCACTGGAGAAATTTGTGTTTAATACTGCAAATGACATTTTGAACACATTCTTTGTTTTAGAGACAGACTTCACTGCATAGCCCAGGCTGGCTGTAACTTCTGTAGTGTTGAGATTATAGATGTACAGCACCATGGCTGTCTTTGAGTGGTTTGAGTTTATTAAACTAACAGATACTATTAATAGCAATAAAACTGTTTTCATCACTTGTTTATAGTGTTATAGATGCTGAATTTGATTCTGGTTGGAGATATGCTAAAGATGTCTGTTTCCAGAATGCAGGCATTAATTTCTTGACAGGAATTGCCCCCCTCCCCCCCAAAAAAAAACTACACTAAAGATTTGGAACAGTGTACTCCTGGTTGAAAGCTGACTTACCATGATTCCATTTGACATTTACTTGGTAGGTTTTACACACGCTGGAAAGACTGGGAATCGTGGTATTCCCAGAGCTTCGGTTTACACTTTTCACTGAGGGAAGAACAATGGCAAGAAGACTGGGCATTTATACTCTCTCTAGCTAGTCAGGTAAGGTTGCACCAAGCTTTGAATTTTTTTTTTCTTTTTTTGAGAGGTAATCCACATGCTCTTAAGTTGTTCAGTCAGTCTGATCAGACCATGCTGAAAGCAATGTGATGTGAAGGAAAGATGCTTTCCCTGCTGGCAGTCAGTCAACTTGGGTTCTAGGTACTGACTACAGAGCTCTGTATCACTGCAGAACTCTGCTGCTTAATTAAGGGTAACAGCTATCCAAAACAAAGACCTACCGATGACTTCTAAGCATGGTATAACTAGAGGCTTTATGTCTGTTTTACCTTCCTCCACAGTAGTTCTAGTTGTGGGGTTCAGGTAGGATGGAACTGAGCTGTCCAGCTTGGAGAAAGAATTTGACATCATACTGTCCCCTCATGACTGCATTTATGTGTTAAGGGCAAAGCGCAGTCTGGCTTACTCTGAACAAACAGCCATTGAGAAGGGACGTTCCTTCTGTTTGTGCAATTTGTGCAGGGTCCACAGTGGCTAACTTATGAAATAATGTACCACCCCATGGTCATGTGCTGTTAAGGGTGGCTAGAGTTGGGGAGGATGGACTGAAGTTGGTGATACTGCTATTTGAATTTGTGCACAGTAAAGCTGTTTTCAGAACTTGGTTGTAAGTAGGACTTTCTCAGTAAATTTAAATGACGTCATTTTATGAAATGTCCCTTGCTATCTGAACCTTTTTGATATTAGAGTAAATTTAAGATTGGATAGCAAGGGATACCTTGAGATAATTGTTGGTGAGTTTGAATATGAATGATACTTATACCAGAGGATGCCTATTATAATTCTGTTGGACTTAGCACTTTGGGGAGTCAATCTGTATGACAAGGTTTTCTTCTTGGAAATGGATTGAGGTTGAGATAGTATTGTTTTTTTATATAGCTGGTAATAAATACTTTAAAGAGAAATTGTCTTTTCTTTTTGTGGTCTGTACAGCCTGGAGCAAGTTTGGAACAGACACACATTTTTGTACTCGCACATATTCTTAGACGACCAATTATAGTTTATGGAGTAAAATACTATAAGAGTTTCCGGGGAGAAACTTTAGGATATACTCGGTTTCAAGGTAAGCCATTCCTCAACAACACTCTAGTAGTCTTGTTTGTAGTTTCTTAGTTGTATCTTCAAAGCACTCATTTATGTAGAAAAGGGTCACAGTAGCCCCTGGGTTTCAAAAGGCAGAACAGTGGGAGTAGGGGTTGGATGGTAGACAGGCACTTGCTCCTTGTGTTCTTGTGCTTTTTTTTTTTCTAGGAGTTTACCTGCCTTTGTTGTGGGAACAGAGTTTTTGTTGGAAAAGTCCAATTGCTCTGGGCTATACAAGGGGCCACTTCTCTGCTTTGGTTGCCATGGAGAATGATGGGTATGGCAACCGAGGTGCTGGTGCTAATCTCAACACGGATGATGATGTCACCATCACATTTCTGCCTCTGGTTGACAGTGAGAGGAAGCTTCTCCATGTACACTTCCTTTCTGCTCAGGAGGTGAGTAGCATATTGTTATCTCAGGAACCAACCTCCTGTGCCTTCCAGTTGTGTGTGAACTGTGATAGGAAGTGTTTTATTTTTTTCTGTAAACACCAGTCATAAACTAAAACCAACCTGTTCAAAAACTGGAAAGGCATCAGGCTAGTTATTAGACTTGTGTCGTGACTTTGATAGACTTCTAGTTTTTGGTGGTGGGGTGGGAGACATGGTTTCTGTGTACCCCTGGCTCATCCTGGAACTCTTACAGACCAGGCTGGCCTTGAATGTCAGAGATCCAGCTACCTGCCTTTGTCTCCCAAGTGCTGGGATTAAAGGAGTGCACCACCATGGACAGTAGAGATTTTTTTAAAGGCACTGAGAGGGCATGGGGCAAAGAGATGAGGGGGAGACATGACCCCTCATGAGGGGGAGTCTGAGTGAGCTAGGGAGTCCAGAAACATGGGGATCTATGGGAGAGGCAGCAGTGTGAACTAGGCAGTGAGGATATATAAAATACCCAGAAAGTGCACATTTTAAAAAATTGACTGTTTATTTTATATTCTAGTAATGACTGACCACAAAACAGTACAGTACCAAGGAAAAGAATCATAGACTATAACTTGTACAATTCTAGCCCCAATGTAATTTACCCACGAAACTTACCTTGTTATGTCTGAAGCTCATACCTTTCTTGGTACTTTATACAAGGGTCATGTCAAATAAATGATTTTCTAGGGTGTTCGCTCTAACCCAGCTTTTGGGAGGAGGCTATTTCCTTATTTAATTGTAACCATACACACATACAAAAAAAAAAAACACCCTCCTGTTTTTTAATGATAAACGAAAGGTTGAAGTTAGGCTGCAACGGTTGTTTGCTTTTTCATTATCACTGAAGCTTCAGGTTATTTCTACCAAGTATCTGACCTGCTGTGTTAACTTTGCCTTTTCTTCATTTTCCTCTAAAAGCTAGGTAATGAGGAGCAGCAAGAGAAACTACTCAGAGAATGGTTGGACTGCTGTGTGACCGAGGGGGGAGTTCTAGTGGCTATGCAGAAAAGCTCTCGGAGGAGAAACCACCCATTGGTCACACAAATGGTAGAAAAATGGCTTGACCGCTACAGACAGATCCGGCCTTGTACATCCCTGTCTGATGGAGAGGAAGATGAAGATGAGGAGGATGAATGAAAAGAAACACACCTAAGGAGCAAAAAAGACCAATACCATCTCAGATATGAGATGTTGTTTCCAAAATTAGTGTGGTATTCTAAGCAGAATATACAGCATGGAGTAAGCCACACCCTGCAGGATCTGCTCCCAAGTATCTTTCTGCTCAACACCCACTGGAGATGATGAGTGCATCTGCATGAGGAGATGGAGAACTTTGGTTGAACTACAGTTTGTTTTACAAACAAAAAAAGCCCCCTCACCAAACCCTAATTTTATTGACAGAACTTTTTCTTTCAAATTGTAAATCTGTCTATGAATGTAAAGCATGTGGTTGTGTAAGAAGTTGTGTACTAGGAAAAGTGCACCAGCATCTTCATGTTACTGAGAACATTTCCCCAGCATGGGCACTCATAAAAAGCACATGGCAGATAACCTTGTTGAAATATTCTCATTAGACCCTGACATCCTGCTCCCACCGTAAAAGACCCGTTTTCCATTGTTTCAGAGATTTGGAAACTTTGTACAAATTATCCACAGCAAGATAAAAATAAACAAGCCTTTATTTTTATTAATAATTTAGTTCCTGTTGTGCCCAATAAAATAAAAATCAAATCCTTAGGAACAAACTGCAAGAAAAACTAGCAATTTTTTTTTGAGTGAACTTTTACATAGAAATTGTCTTGTTTTGGTTTCTGTTTAAGTTTCCTGATTTACCCCATTCATTATTTAAATATTTATTTGTTTGGATGAGTGCCCTGTAAAGGGGTTCTTACTCGACTCTGGGCAGGTGTGTTTGTGCACTTCTTCCCTGGAGGGATGGAATAGCAGCAGGCTTACTTGCCACTGGGTGGACTGTGTGACAGTCACTTGGACTCAAACCTGTTCTGCTCCCAGGTGGCCATGCAGAGGGTCTTCAGAACTGTCCTGTCTTTATTGTCACCTCTGCTCTAAAGCAGAAGCTGTATTAAGGGCATGCCTTTGCTTAGGCTGATTGGGAATACAGTTCAGTACAAACAGAATAAAGATTTTTTTTAAATGCAGTAAGGTGGTCAATGCATTGAATCATCAATTTCTCTGTGTAGTTCAAGATTTTTTGCATGTTGGTTAGTTGTAGCCATTATTTAAACTTAAAACTATAATCTTAGAAAAACTTTATGGACTTATTTGACCACTTCAGGTATGTATTAATTAGTACTGGGTAAACATTTCTGACCTATCTCAGGAACACGACACGTAGTGTCCTGCTAAGCACTTAAGACTGACGTGGCAAGCAGTTGCTACAATGGCAAATACACACACTTCCTTCCCCCTTTCCTCCCCTTTATTGAAAAGGCTGTGAAACCTTTTAATCTTCTGATGAGATGGTATTGAAGTATACACAACCTTCAGTTTGCTGGAATACTAAGAAGAGAAAGTACCTAATGAGCTGTTATGTCTTCAGTTCTTTCCCTTGTGAACACTCAATAAGGAGGTGTTCCCAAGATGAAAGGTCATTGATGCTGCATGCCAAAACTGGGAAAGTAGTTTTCATACTCCGTGATCCCATATAAACGAACTGTGGTATCAAAAATGGTAAATGTTACTGTTCCAGTGGTCAGTGTTTTCCTAGAAATTGACTATTTGGTTTTCATTTTGGTCAGTGAATGATAACCAAGTAGAAGGCTGCTATTCTGTGTACTTAGCATCCGCAGCATCTGTAATAGCTGTTTTCCATGTGTACAGCTGAATTTTCAGGAGGCAGAGATCCAGTTAAGCAAAACCTCCTCTTCCAAATGAAGTAGCAACAGAGTAGAGTACAGAGGGGAAAACTGGTCTCCAGGTGGATTTGCTTTGCACCCAACCTCGTGGTGCAGAGTCAGGCTCAGGACTGAGCCTTGTCCCGTGTGCTGTGGTTTTGTGAGCGTCCTTTCCTAAGTTCCCTCTGTATTTATTTATTTATGTATGACCAGTGACTCTGACCACATATAATTTGATGGGTATCACATTCTTCCCTATGGGAAAGAATAAGAGATGACTCCATTTCTTAAGGCTCAAGACAGGAATGGGACTTTAACGCTGTTTCTTTCTGTAGCAGACTGGCTGGCTGTGAAAGGCCAACACATTTGGAAAAATCAGCGCTATGTTAAGCTCTTGAACTAAACCAACAGCCATAATTATTGTCCCAAAAAAAGTGTATGCATTTGTCAAAGATTAAACGTGGCTGGGTGGCAAGTGTAGGTATCTTTAGACTGACTCTGAGCAGTAATACTTTTATAACTGTGTGGACTTTGGTTCTTTTTCTAGGCTGAAACCAGTACTTTGTTTTTATTCTGATGTTGTTGTTCTTTGGAGTCAGTTTATATATAATCATTTCTAAGGACTGTTTGAACAACCATGATCTAATTAAACAAAACCTAGGCACACCATGGATTCAGATTTGACTTTCTTCTGTTTCTAACCTTTAGACATACTGTGCCAGACATAAAGAAGGTTAATACTGCTGTGTAGACAGTTGCGACCTCTTTTTCATCCATATTTCATCGTCCATGTTTTTGACAGGACACATGATTGTCAAGGGCGTGTTCTTACTACCTTTCTGCTTTTCACGTGTGGTCATTTCATAGGGAAGTTAGGATGGGGAAGGACCCTCCTGAAAAGAAGTTTGGGGACTATAAACATGGAATTGTGGGACTTAAAAGCTATTTTAAAATGTAAGTAGATCGAAGTTCTCAGTCTGTGGCCACAGTGATAGTTGTCTTGTAACCCCCCACAAACCCCCAAAAGATAAGAGGACTCACATCCTACTTTCGGGCATATTAAAGTCAAAAATTGAAATATTAACCAGTTTGTTTCTAGAATTTACTTCACTCTAAAGCACTGCCTCATCTTTAGGGTAGTCTACCTAATTTGGACTTCTCTGAGGTCAGACACTGTCACCACAAGAGTTGGAAACTGGCTGATTGAACATGTGATGACATCTCAAGGGTTTTTACATAGGTGAGATGTACTTAAATGTCAGAACTTAACAGAAATTTTAATTACGTTTTATTGAAAACTGCACTGAACGCTAAATGTCCACCTTTACAATAAACAAATACAGTAACGGTAACTCACACTAAAACAAAACATACTTTTGATAGCCATTATTTTTCTGTTTGGGACAACTTTAAAGTTTTTCTTTTGTCACAAAAACAGGAATGTACCTATACAAAGGCTCGAAATAGGCCATCTTTAAAAACAAAAAGGCAATGATTCACAAAAGACTATGAATAGAACATGTAACTAGCTGATACAAATCTAATAGGATTTGTTAAAATCAGTCACATCTAATAGCACATCTGAAGTGTTCTTGTATAAAATATCACGTGAAGAAAAGAATTTATCAATGTCTAAAAAAGTGGGTTTGTTCATAGACAATCTGACAAGTTACCATAAAAAGTGTTTCCTGAGACATAAGGAAATGCAACATTATTCTTCTTGAACCCTTCTCGTCCAAGACTTTCCACTCAATAAAATAGCTGAGGATCTGAAACTGAGAAAATATATTTGAGTACAAACAGCTTGTGAAACTTAATACTTTTTTCTTTTTGTTCTTTTCCTTTTTTTTTTTGTTTGTTTTGTTTTTGAATCATCAGAGGGTTTTACTGAACTCACAACCAGCTCTGCCTGCTCAGAGTTGAGAGACACTTCTGTACAGGAGCTTTTATTTCTTCAATCCTGTGCATGAAGATGTCTGCACAGGCACACAATGTCCTCCCCATCTTGTCAATTAATAGTCCTACTGGCAAAGGAGGCAACCAGCCCCTGTAGACCAAAGGGACTAGTCTTGATGGGGAATTCCTCTCAATTTTTTTTTATTAATATTCGGAGCTTTTGATGCAACATCGAGAGCAAGCTGCCCAGGACTTGCTGTGCCCAAGGGACTGATGAAGGAAAGCTCTATTTATTCTTTGTGATTTGATGCACAGATGAAAAACTTAACACACAATAACAGAAGTTGGTCGTTAATAAATCACGTCCTAGTCTTTCCACACTTCCAGAAGCAGATACCATCTTCAGTATTCTAGCTCTTGTAGCTTTAACACTGTATCAGTGATGTCCAGGATCAGTTTTAAAGATGCCAAATTCCTGTCCTTAGTTAATCTGTTTGCTACTGTCTCTTGGTCCCAAGTTTATCTGAATGATTACCTTCAGCATTCTCTGCTATTGCTCGTTGGGGTGCTCTCGATTGTCCCCATGTTTTGTGGGCTGATTGGGGGAGGGAGCTTGGGAAGGATGTGCCACTGTGGGGAGGTTGTGAGTCACCGGGATGCCTCCAGGGATGATCCCTTCCATTGCTGCAGGAAGCCCTCCTGGAGCCACCCCAACGATGCCTGGTGGATACCTGAGGGGCACATGGAAACAAGGCCTTAAGTCTGGGCTACATTTACCAAAATTCTTAGCCTTTCCCCACTTCCAATCAGATAGCACACAAATGTTTGTTATTCTTTCCCCCAAAGCAAGGTCAAACTAGGTTTTTATATAGAACTGTAGAACCTAGTTAATTTTAAAAACTGAAGTTTTAATCACAGCTGGGTTGGTTTTGTGGCATTTAGACCACAGGAAGGTATCTGCACATACTAACTACTAACACTTGTGAATTTTGTGTAAAACAACAAAAACCTAGAAATACCAAAACTCCGTACAGGTTGGACTCAAGGTCGCTTTTGGAAAATGCCAGTCAAGTGAGGTAACCATGATTGATTTCCCTACAGATTTCACAAAGTTCTCCAAGTTCTATGGGCTAAAGGTTTGCTTTCTCCCTAAATTCCTAAGTTCTCATCTTGTAAGTACTAGTAAATGGGAGTATGGCCAGTCTGTCTCCTCTACAAACTTCTGCTTCCAGAACTGAGAAAACCATGTGGTTTGTTAGCCACTGAAGAAATTGATGTGATGGCTGAAGTCACAAGACAGTGGCTCCCAAGGCTGTTTGGTCCTGTGCCTCTCTGAATGTGCAGACATGAGGCACTATGTCCATCAGGATGAGCTGCTTACAGAAGTAAAATGTGAA